TATTTGTGTTTGGGGGTGCGTTTGTGTGACCTCCTGCTCACCAAAAGGGTCATAAAAGCAGGAAGTTTACTAAGCAACAAACAGAACCTTCAGATAGGATGTCCCTATAATAAAACACTGCAGCCTCCCCCACCGTCCAACAGGCTGGAGAGGTGGTCAGAGACAAAGAGATGTCTTTGATCTGCTTGATGCTGCTTGAACTAAGACTTACAAATTTAAGTAACACAATGACAACATTTAACAATTTGACTCCAGCAGCTGGCAAAGTGTAAAGTGTTTTTCAATGAAAGGATAGAGCACACTTTCGGATTTAGATAACTTATGTTACTATTATGTATAAGTTCCCTTTCACAGTGTGTGTCATCATAAGCAAGATGAATCTCGATAAGTATCAAGCCTGAGAGAAGAGCTTGAGAAGATGTGGAGATTGAAGGCAAAAACAGTTCCAGTGCTAATGGGAGCACCCCAAGTTGACCCCTCAGTTGGGCAAGTAGCTCGAACAAATCCTAGAAACAACACCCAAGATCTCTGTCCAAAAGAGTGAAAAAATGATGGTATTGGGAAACTTTCTGGAGGGAATATCTGGGTTTGTTAGGAGTAACGGCATCCATTGCACTTTGGATGGAGCAGTTCTCATTTCTAGAAATCTAGAAATTTATGAGGAGAGATACGTGAGGGGCAGGATTTTGAATTTGAATCTGGATTTAACCAGTGAAGAAAAGCCAATATAGGAGAAATCTGCTCTCTCTTTCTAGTCCCTCAGAACTCTTGCTGCAACATTTTGGATTACCTGAATGCTTTTCAGGCTGTTTTAGGACATCCTGATAATAATCAATTACAGTAGTCCAACTTAGAAGCAATAAATGCATGAACTAGTTTTCACTGTGAGACAAGATGTTCTGGTGGAGAGAGTTTTTAAGCCCTATTGGGAGTGTCCCTAAGAGGGTCATGGACTCCCAATTGATCCTCTGCCTAATCACACGAACCAAGGTTTCGAGTAAACCCGCTGTGAAACGTAGCTCCACCCTATCATGTGATTTCCCGAGGTCAGATGGCCCAGGGTGTGAGTGGGCGTTAAGGCATCTAGGAAGAGATCTCAAAACTGGATTACAGATGGCAGACAGTTGGTGTCGTAAATCACCGCCTGTGTTCAAAGATGGTCGCTCACAGTGGACATAAATGCACTGTAAAAACTGTGACTAGAGGTTACATATGGCAACAAAGTGACACTTAATTTACTTTAATTTAAGTAGATTTTAATTTTAAAAGATTTATGTAAAATGTACAGAAAATGTTAATTAAATTTCAACAGAAATTTTCAAGTAGATATTAATAAAATTTAACTGTAAAAGTGTGTTAAAAATGACTTTACCAGCAATCTGGCAAAGGTTTAGTAAAAAATTAATAAGATATCCATTCCAAAGAAATGAAAATGTTTTGTTTTTTTAAGTAAAACTCAAATTGGATTCAATAACTTTCCAATTAAATTTTGTAAATAGTGACAGAATGATGAGAGAAAATCAAATTAATTTAACTGCTTTTCTGAGTAAAATGAATCAGTTTCACAAATAAAACATTCAAACAGTAATTGCTTTTATTATGGAATATAAAATGTATAAAACATTTATAATATAACATTTTCAGCTTAATTTCTGTTGTATACACTGAAATTCTTATCAATAATCTCCTTTCATAATCTCATATGGTCTCCTAAATACATTCCCCTGGTGTAAATTTGTTTTAATGTGATAAACCGATTATCACACAGCTCTGTGTACAGAGCAACAGCAACATAAGAGAAAATACATGAATGTAGACCAAAGATATACAGTGACTGTGTTTGGAGGTCACAAAGAATGTTTTGATAAGATAAACCAATGTGAAATCAATTTAGTAAAAAAACAAAAAGATTAGACTCTAACTTCAAGATTAACCTGAAGTTTGAAAATCATTTACTCAGTTTCCCTTACCTCTGTTACTTCTTTATGATTAACTAACAAAAAAGTGTCTCCCAGTGCAATTCTTAACATATTTTGGTTATGAACAGTATATACAGTACTCTGGAGAAGGTATAAAATGTCACTGTGCATGTGTTTTATGTGCATAGATTTTGTTTACATTAATACCTGCCATGACCACCCCTTTCTTTTGCCCTACTAATATTCTGGTTTCAGTTTGTTTCCCACATTTTTTTTAATCTCTTGAATTTCTTGCCTTATGGTTCCAAGCACTGTCACCAATCTTTGCATTTTATTATTATCTCATGACACTTGTTTAATCAGCTACCATCTCTGCTGTGGACTTTTTAATATCTACAGTCTTAGATCAACACAGTTCTGCCCTCCAACACTGTCAGCAGCAGGAGCAGCAGAAACCCCTCAACAGCAACATTGTACCTGATTAGGTAAAACACAGGCTACATTTGCTTTCCACTGACCCCATCTTTGATTCCATATTAGACTCCTATGAATGTGGATTGTTGTTTTTCAGCCTGGTTCTATGTGCCCCTTTTTAACTTTGAGCACCCGCCCCAAAAAACACCTCTGCCCGGCGCTTAGTTTAAATACCAGCTGGAACCGAACAATGACAGTTTTGTTCACTAAAACATTTCCACAGAACTTCTTTTGTCCTTGTTCTGCAACATTCATTTAAGAATCATTTAAAAAAAACACCACCATGCATATTTGTGGTTTATTATGAGCACACATGATAAAATCACTTCCAGTGAAAACCCAAAGGTGTTACAGGTATTTCCACATCACAGTCCAAGTTTTTGTCATGTTTGTTAAAGCCTGACAACAACACCCTTGTTCCTCTCTGACAAGCTAAGGCTTGTCTAATAACATTATACTATCTGTAGATAGAAGCTGATTGTTAAAAGACTCAAAATGTCAGAGCATATTACACAGGAGAGGTCTTACTTAGTAGAGCTGGCTGTTTGGTCACAGGATCAGTGTGGCCAACAAACCATCCGGAGCATCTCAGCTAGATTCTTCTCCTAAAGTGTTCACTTCACTTCTTACATAGCTCATCATAGCAATTTGACCACATACAGTTTTTGAGAACATCTGATGTTGACTCTGTGTGTGTCTGTGTGTGTGTCTATTTTATGTTAAAGATTTTGTTTTGTGATTAGATCTTTGAGACTCCTTGTCTCCTTAATTCAACCCAGACACTTTCTGTTACTTTCCCACATCCCGCAGACCTTTTAGGGGAGCATAACAATTACTGTTGATCTGAATTGGTACTATTTAAATATATATATAAATATAATAAAGAGTTCTACGTGCAGGGATTGTTGAATTTAATTGAGCCTGTGAAATGAAATCATTTGCTCAGATTATGTTTTTGCTTGTGCATTTGTTGTGACAAAAATATAAAATATTTATGTCCCTAACACTTTGAGCTTATTTTTTGACAAATCAGCATAAAGCATACATTTTTCAGTAAAATCAGTTAAACAACATAAAACAAATCCAATCACCTGTGTTTCATTTAGGTCTACTTAAAAAAATATGATATAAAAAAACTCTTTGTAGCACATCACAGCTTGCTGTATCATCACTGTTTTAAAACTCTTTCATCTTAACTAAGATTAATTTTTTCTTCTGTTTTTTACAGTCAACAAAAAGGTCAAAGCTATTCAAAGCAAATTAACACCAAAGATATTTGTCTACAGGTTTGAATCTTCTAATAATGAATTATTCTCTTTTAAGACGTGAATGAAAACTTCGAATCTGCTCTATCAGTTGACTCAGGAACTTGTATTCTTCGTCCTCCCTGTCAGCTTGTCTCTGTTTCCTTTCTTCCACCTCTCTGAACATGGCATTGGTGTAGTATGTGCCAGCGTTTCCTGCCACCATGTCATCAATCTTCTTGATCAACTCCTCCACCTGCTGTTTGTCTTTGCTTTTGTTGTTGAAGACGTGGAGCCTGTTTCCACAGCTTTGGATGACTCGTCTGAGCTCTGTTTTGCTTTCACGTACATACTGCTGTACGGTGATTTCCTGGTCTTCAAGATCATCTCCATGGGTGAACAGCACAATCATGTAATGTTGAGCTTTTGGACCAAACAGCTCCTGCAGGGCTTCCACAGAGTTTTTCTCCTCTGTGGTGAATCGACCGACTTGGAGCACCAGTAGAAAAACATGAGGACCTGGACTGGAGACTTCAACACATTTAATAAGTTCCTTTTTGATCATCTCTGCAGATTTCTTAGGGTCCAGGATTCCTGGTGTGTCTATGATAGAAATATTTCTGCCTTCCCACTGTGCTTCAGCTATTTCACAGGTTTCAGTCACTGACTCTGAACTGGGACGAGATTTGAAATGTTTTTTTCCCAGGATGGTGTTTCCAGAGGAACTCTTCCCCACACCAGTTTTTCCTATTATCACAATCCTCAAATCAGGACCTGGAACACAATTCACAGCTTCAATTTAACACATCTGAAACATCAAGTCCATAAGTTTCATGTATTTCAATGCATGAGCACATGTTAACACATATTAAACAAAGCAGATTAAATATATATTTACCTGATCGAGATGAAGTCATAATTTATCTTCCGTTTGTTGTAACTACAGGTGAGAGAGATGTGTTCAAGCTTCTGTTCAACACATTTTTTATGTGTAGCTTCACAGTTGACACGCCCGCAGTAGTTGCATAACAGGTTTAATAGAAAGAAAGACACGCACACCTTACAGACACCAAAGAGCCTGTTACAGGATTCTTAAAATAAAAGACATTTAAGAGTAGCAAGGAAACATTTTATATCTGATCATTTCAATCGTTTGGGGGGGTTTGTTTGTTTGTTTGTTTGTTTGTTTGTTTGTTTGTTTGTTTGTTTGTTTTAGTATTTCAAAAAAGAATTGGTTAACTAAAAAGATCATTTCCACTATTTTCATTGACAAGATTTCAAATTTCCTTTAAGAAGGAATTCTGGTTGTAGGTGGCACAAATGAAATCACACGCGCAGCAGAATTACAAACTAGCTACTAGGTGTACATTACAAGTTTGAGCTAAAACAAAAAACAAAAACATCCTGTACCCATGTATGCTTTGAATTCTCAATGGGGGACAATATTATAGATGTGCAATGCTCTGTACAGGTTAGCAACTAGCCATGAAATGAATGTAAATTCTCCGTTCTCTTACACAGCACCCTCTTCCTGTATTTATTTTTATTGCTTCTGCCCCAGACACAACTGACCAATGAACATTATCTCATGGTTTGTGGCAGCAGACTTTCATTCATGTGGGTGGCTGTAGCTCAGGTGGCAGAGCAGGTCAGCCACTAATCAGAAGGTCAGTGGTTCGATCCCAGGCTGCCTCCTGGCTGCATGCCAAATATCCTTGGGCAAGATACTAACCCCATGTTTGCCTACTGGTGGCGCCTGTGTCCGGCAGCCTCGCCTCTGTCAGTGCGCCCCAGGGCAGCTGTGGCTACAATGTAGCTGCCATCGCCAGTGTGTGAATGTGTGTGTGGATGACTGAATGTAGTGTAAAGCGCTTTGGGGTCCTATGGACTAGAAAAGCGCTATACAAATGCAGGCCATTTACCATTTACCTGGATTTCTAACAAAAGAAATAAACCAAAGTAAATGATCTACAGGTGTTAAAACACCCTAAGGTTAAACCCAACTCATCTTTCACTGTTCCACAAGAGTCAAATATCACTACTTCCATGTGTAGTTAGTTGATATGGAGCCAGCCCAGTACACGCTCCCAACGCAGGGGGTTAACTACCCTACGCAAGGCGCGCCTGCTGCTTGCCAGACAGGAAGGAGAGGGTGGGACGGCAAGAGATTCTCTGGCTGGCTGGAGTGGCATCTAATAACTAACTCACAAAATAAAACAAAAGGAAAACAAACCAACAAACTAGGGCTGTCGATGTTAATGCCGGCATCACGATTAACGCACTTAAAAAATTTTAACACAATTTGGATGACTCAAAAATCCTGAGATGTCTCTGTCAACGCATTTCGGGCAGTTTGTCCAAAGTTTATCCACTCTGCACTCCAGATGAAGATGAATGTGCTAAAAATGTAAATTGCGTTAATCGTGATAATGGCATCAACGCGTTAAAGTTGACAGCCCTACAACAAACAGAAAAACTGGTCACCATTGTTACTGCAAAGGTTAAAACAAAGGCATGTTTTTTCTCTCTTACAGCTGACACAGCTGTTTTGCATAACATTTTCACACAGTCTGTGGTTTCTTGCCCTCAGTTTCCTGACAGTAAAATATACTTCTAATTTTTTTTTTTATCAGTAAAACGTGTTATTTTTTAAAACTTCTCATATTTAAAAGAAGCATATGTTCTCAGCTTCAGTGTGTTTGTTTTCATTATCTATAAAAATTATCAAACTGAACCTTGTTCTCCTGGGAGCTGCCGTGACTGGAAAGAGTTCAGCTCAGGTCATACCAGGAGATGATCCACAGCATGCAGGAATGAAGTTGGACGACTGTTTAGCTACAGGTGTGCCGTTTCTGAGAAACAGTGATCAGGATGATCCAAGAACAGCTGTGTAATTAGTTATGTAATGAATGTTTCTCTGTGTAAAGATATACGAACATGAACTAGAGTTAGACGGAACATGTTTGTTTATCATTTTAATTTTAATTTTTAAGCTGTTCTTTGGATTTTTGTTAAATAATTTAATTGCAGTTCTTAACATTCACATTTTAACAAACAGAATCAGCTTAATGCTGAAATCAATCAGCTCCTCAGGAAACTCATATATGATATTTTCAAACAGTCTAATGGACAGAAAATGGTATTTTTGCACCAACAAAGTGATTTCCAAAGAGCTACTATCTGAAAACATGGCATATGTGTGCATGGTCCAGGTGTCCTGAAAAAATGAGGAAATCGGACAAGTGGAAGGACAAAAGAAGAAGTGTAGGTCTAAAATCTGCTTACAGCAGACGAACATCTAAAATTTGTGTCCTTAAGAAATAGAAAAACAAAATCCACCAATGACATGACAGAGAACCTGAGAGCTGCATCTGGCCCTCCAGCTGATCCATCTACTGATCCCAAACAAACACACCTGGACAGTAAAACACACAGTGAAACACTATCAGTGGTGGACTGGACTCCCCAGAGCCTGGACCCTAACATGACTGAAGCAGTGTGAGATAAACTAGGATGACAGAACAAAACAAAAGAACGCTTAAATCCACAGCGAGTTTTGAAAGTCCTTCAAGAAGTTTGGAGAAACAAGAAAGCTGCCTCAGAGAGTTCAGACTGGTGGTCATACCAAGTTTAGATTATCAAACTCATTTTAAAAAGTCTGTGTTTTTTTCATTTGTATGTCCATGTTTGTCTCAGTATGTTTCAATAAAAACGTCAGGGTTGGCTGTGCGGCAGGCAGGCAGAAGTGGTGGACCCAAAATGCAGGAGTCTGGGAGACTGGATTTAAACTGAAAACACAGCTTTAATGCTGGACAAACCCTTCATAAAATAAAACTCGCAAAAACGAAACAAGACTCGGAACAGCAGTGCTGGAGGACCAGACATAACCAACACAGCAAGTACAACACAACAGTGACACAGAAACACAGGGCTTATATACACAGAGTGATAATCAGGGAATGGGCAACAGGAGGGAGACACAGCTGGGAGAAATTGGACTAACGAGACAGACTGAACACACTGACATCACACAAGACCATGATCCTTCAAAGTAAAACAGGAAACAAAACACACTTTACTAAGACACGGACTAGACAGAGAGAGACTGACCAAAACCTACTAAATAATAATCACAATCAAAACAGTATCACTGATTAATCAGAACATAAATCATAACCTAGAAAAACACCAAAACATGAGAAACAGAAAGCTGGGTCAAAATGACCCAGAACCGTGACAAAAAGTCCCACATGTTTCACATTATCCCAGCAAAATGTAAAGAAGTGCAGGGCAGCTTGAGACATTTGCACAGCAATGTTGTTAAAGCTATTCCTGTTGCAGCACAAAAATGCTAAATTAATTTAAATATGTACATGTTAATATATTATTTCATACCTTTTTCTTTTTAAAAAGAAATATACTCATGGCTTTCTCTGCCACTGCCTTCTTTTACTCAGAGTCCTTTAAAGACATGAAAGCTCAGTTATGTGTCGTTGACTCTCTTTAAGTTTTTTTTACGTTGGAGTCTGGAACCAAACACATGTTGAGGTGCAGGATCAGCTGCAGTCAGCCACTGTAAACTGAATTTGTATCACCATCTGCTGGACATTTGATGTACCTGACTCCACAGGCAAATTTGTTGAAGCTGCATCTGTTTAATCTATTGCATTCTGTCATTAAAACTTTATTGATTTAAACAAAAAAAAGTCCCAATCTGGAAAGAAAGAACTTAAATAAGCATAAAAAGGAAACATGTAAAATGAAGGATTTGTGTCTTATGTTTGCTCTTGTTCTTGTTATTATTTTCATTTTAATAAGATCTCCTTGCTAATCTTTTCTTATGGCTCTGTTTATGTGTATATTTTGTGTCCTTGATTTAGTCAGTTCTGCTTTTATTTTGAAACATCTTTATTTGTTTAGCTTCACATCTTTGTATGTAAATATGTTCTCACACAATTAAATAATGTTATTATTAAATATGTTTAATAACATAAATATGCTCTGCTAACTGTATAAAGAGCTAACATCTCCAAAATGTCAGCAGTAGTCATTACAACAAGTGTTTGTGAACTAAAAATCAAGAATGTAGGAAACTGTTTGTCTGTGATTTGAACAGCCCAGCGCTGCTCTCGACGCAGGGGAAGTTAAGGAAACCTACCTTGGCACTTGTGCAGGTGAAGCCAGAGGGAAGATATGCTTTTTCATATTTTCTAGTCTTTGGCTTGCAAGGAAGTTGGTTTGGAAACATATTCAGCGATGCTTCATCTCCTGCTTTGCGTTTGTGTGTGAGCCCCGTCAAAAACCTGTCCATTAGCAGATCCAAGAGTTCTTTTTTCTTTTCTTTTTTTTTCATGCCCCCCCCCCCACCCCCGGCAATGGCTCTGCGCTCCCCACTTTGGGAACCTCTGTGCCAACCAATAAATAAATATAAAATCTTTTTATAGGATGTTTATACACTCAGATTCTTTCACTACCTGCTCTCTAACAGTAACAATATTATCAGTAGCAGCATAATCAGTTTTTCGGGAAAATCACAAAAGTCTTTCTCCACTGATTGAAATTAAAACAAAAAAATCTTTGGACCCTTGAGAATCTAGAGTCTTATTTTTATAGATAAGTTAACGGAATTTAAGCAAAGGCCTGGCAGATGGATCTGCACCACCGTGACCACCAGAGGGAGCTGTTGTGAGATCCCACATAGATGAACATTAGAACAAACTGTCCTGTCAGTAAGAGAACACTGGAACACCTTACCAGTCATAAAGCAGCATGCTCCATTTGCCTTTTTTCAGAAACAGTGCAAAACAAATACAAATAGCTGATGCATTATTGTCCCTCTCATGGTCTTATTTCTAATCCTGTTCAGTCTAAATGAAATTAATAACATCTTCAGCTCGGCCTCCTTTCTTTTTGTCAC